AAAGCACCTTCCATAGTGAGGAAAATGTTTTTGGCTTTGTTTCCATATCTTATTTCACCTCACTTCCTTTCACAAAACACATTTATTTTTATTTTTATTTTTATTTTTTCTTTTCTTTTCTTTTTTTTAAAAAATCGAATTTTTAATTATTTTAAATATTTTTCTATTTCTTTTCTTCTTCTTTCTCTTCTTCTTTTTTTTTTTTTCTCTTCTTCCTTCCTCTAGTGGTCGTGGCTGGCGACCAGTCACAAGCGAGGCTCAACCTCACTCGCTGACCTTAGGTGAGGCCGAGTTCGAGGCCGACGAGCTCGAGCCTCAACTCGTCGGCCTTGGGCGAGGCCAAGAGTAGCCTCGCCTAGCCAAATTTGGCGAGGCGAGGTCGAGCTCGAGCCTCACCTCGCCGGCCTCAGGCAAGGTCCAAAGTAGCCTCGTCTCGCCGGATCTAGCTCGACCTGGCTCAAGGCCGGTAAGGCTGGCCTGTGGTCGGTCGCCGTGGTCAGCAAAGGAAGGAAGAAGAGAAAAAAAAAAAAAAGAAGAGAAAAAGAATAGAAAAGAAAAGAAATATGAAAAATTATTTAAAAAATTAAAAATTCGAATTTTTTAAAAATTTTATTAAAAGGAGTGCAAGGAAGAAAATATTTTGTCCATACCAAACGATTGAAAATATTTTCCAGTTCATTTTCAAGTTTCAACCGAATAGCGGAAATTATTGTCATTTTCTTGGAAAATGGCTTCTTTGGAAATATTTTCCAGAATCGTCACATTTTCCGCGAAACGAATAAAGCCTAAAGCTTAAATTCAGAAAAATGATTTCCCTTTTTTTTTTTTTGGATCATAATTTCCCCTTTGAAAGAACCGGAAAACCTTTTCAGAAGTATGACTTCTATCTACGTTTGAACACAAAAACTCCAACGTTAGTTCTCAGGTGCCGACATTCTGGACCAGGTCTCAGCGGCCGGGCTCAAGACCTCAGTGTCCAAGGCCTACGGCCCCAGCGCTCATGCCAGGCTAAGCCCGAACCCCTGGTGCCCGTACCCGATGCTCCGGCACCCAAACTCGAGTCCATAAAGGCAGTGCTTAGGTCCTCGATGCTCGAGCTTAGTCCCGACCCTTTGACCCCAATCCCACAAAGGTCGTGCGCATGTCCTTGGTGCTCCGGCTCGGTCCATAAATAATGAAACGTTTGTTCTTATAAAAATATTTAATTAAAAAAATTGATTTTTTATTTTTTTCAATTTTTTTTTTAAAAAACATTTTTTTATTATTTAAAAAAATCGAATTATTTATTATTTATTCTTTTTTTTTCTTTCTTTTTCTTTTCTTCCTTTTTCTTCTACCTCAAGCCGGTTGCCGGCCACAGCAATGGCCGGCGAGCTCGCAGCGGCCTCTAGCGGCAAGCTCGAGGCTCGGCCGATCCAAGCAAGCCCAAGCTTCGCCGAGGTCGGTGAGCTCATGGCTCGCCGAATCCAGGCGAGCCCAAGCTCCGTCGATCGAGTTCGGCCAAGGCTGGCGAGCTCGTGACATGCCAGATCCAGGCGAGCCTGGGCTTGGCCGAGGCCGGAGAGCTTGCGGCTCGCCAGATCCAGGCAAGGCCGGCAAGATCAAGCTTGCCTGTGGCCATCGCCGGGCAAGCCTCGAGCTCGTCGGTGGCCATCGCCGGCCGGTCCTGGCAGAGGAAAAAGAAAAGGAAAGAAAAGAAAAAAGAAAATTAAAAAATAATAAAAATTTTCAATATTTTGAAAAAAGAAAAGAAAAAATAAAAATGAGAAATAAAAATAAAAAATATTGATTTTTTTAAAAATAAAAGAAATATTAAAAAGTTTGATTTTTTTTTGCCTGAAATAAAGTCATGAGATTAAAATCATTTTCCAATGATATCCAAACATTAGAAAACGATTTCCATCTTGTATCACCAAACAAAGGAAAACGAAGCGTTTTCCTGGAAAATGATTTTTCGAAAAATATTTTCCTTTATCATTAAGTTTTCCGGGAAACAAACACCCTAAGTTTCTATAATCCACCAAAAAGATTATGTACAACTTAGAACCCAGCGCGCCTAGCAAATTATCAACAACCATTTCTACGACTCCCTTAAGCCATCCCGAAATCCAACTTCCAAAAGTCCTCGTGATAGTGCTGTTGTATTATCGGCTGCTAGCTAAGGAACCTGAAAAACATGAAAGATGAATGGAGCAACAACCACAGCTCAGCGAATAATACATTTATTATAAATAGATCGAGCAACCACTTTACACATTTATAGGCCTAATTCCCTAAAAAACTTTAAACTTTAGATTTAGTCCCAATTTTACCCTGAACTTTTTTTCATCTAAAAAAAGACGCCAAACTTTCACTTTAGTCCCAAATCTACCCCCGTTAATTTTCCGTCCAAGATCTCCGTTACTCATCCAATGTGGTATTTCCACGTAAGCTGTAAATCCACACCATTTGCTTTCGTGTATTTTTCTTCACTGTTCATCATCGTTATGTTCTTTTCCTTCTTCTTGGCTCCTTGCATCCTCCATTAATGGAGGTCGGGCATGGAGCTCACTTCTGGGTTACACGACCTCGGATTTGAGTCGTGCGACCTTAGATCTAAGTTCGCATGACCTCCGATTTGGGTCGTGCGACCTTAGATCTAAGTTCGCATGACCTCGAATGTGAGGTCGTACGCATCAATCGCGGGTGTCAACCTCCATTAATGGAGTTCGACCAAAGGGCACATAGTGGGGGAAACTATTTGTGCCTTCGCAGCGACGGTGGCTGTAGGGAAAGCTTGGGGTTGTTTTGCTGTTGTCTGGGCACGGAATGGGTCTACAAAGCTTCGGGGATGGCTGAGCGAGGTGGTGGCCTATAAAAATGGCTTCTTGAAGCTTAAATAGAAGGAATCGAAAACAGGGTCTTAGTCGAAATGGCCGAAGATGATTCCGACGACTGCCAGCCGTCACGGAGGGGTTGTCAAAGGTCGTGGCAAGGCGTCGGAGTTCTGGGTGACGATGGATGAGCGCCGGGAAGCTGTGGCCGAGTGCATCCGTGCGAAGAGGACGATGAACAGTGACGAGGCTTTAATCTCAACTAACTTTGGACATTCCAATTCCCACAATTCATTAAGCTTTTTTGAGCTTCCTGGGATGATTAACCTCTCAAGGAGTTCTCTTTTAGTCAGTATCAATGCTCTCAGTTTCAGTTGTTCGAGTCCACTGTATTCAAGTTCTTGAAGCTGAGATTGAGAAATTCGTAGCTTTAACAGGTTTTAAGTTGGAAATGATTGACCAAGAAACTGCTGAGTTGAAACTAACAAGTTTCAGCTCTGGTAAGGCAGGAGGAAGCTGCGTGGTAGATTGCGAGGAAGCTTCGATAAAATCGCCGACCCGCATTTGGCCTCCATGCTTGAGCACCTCCGTTAATGGAGGTAATAAAGAAGATGAAGAAGTAAAGGAGGATGATGAACAGTGAAGAAAACCCACGTAAGCAAATGGTGCGGATTTACAGCTGACGTGGAAATGCCACGTTGGACGGGTCATGGAGATTTTGGATAGAAGATTAACGAGGGTAGATTTGGAACTAAAGTGAGAGTTTGGGGTTTTTTTTAGACGAAAAAAAGTTTAGGGTAAAATTGAGACTAAACTTAAAGTTTAGGGTTTTTTAAGGAATTAGGCCCACATTTATAAAACCAAACCTTAACTAATTTAGCCCAAATCCAAAATACAACAAACTTCAATATCAAAATTAGATATATATATATATATATATATGTATGTATGTATATATGTATGTATGTATGTATTACTTCAACATAACATATTCATAGTAGAATTGCTCATTTAAATCAATAATATCGAAACAAATATCAATGGTCCAATCCACTAATCAATCTCAAAACATATGTAATGATCTATTCTAATGACCAATCTCGAGCTCAGATATCAACCATGATCATGCATAATGCACCGACACAAGGTGACCAAGCTCTCCATTGGCAAGGTCTCCACTTATATTGTCGGTGGCTGTCTCATAAGGATATCTAAAACTAGTATGCATACCTACAAACCCCTTATTAGGCTTGCGGCGATATTGAGCACCAACATAAATTCACAACAGCATCATCTACAATTCACAAAGCCAAACCAAAAATGTATATTATAAATCGGTTTCGCAAACAAAAACACATAATCCTTCCACAACCCATCTCATCTCATCCATCAAAATTCTTTTTACAACTCATTTAATAAACACTTCTTAAACCATTTCAGATAACAATTAGAATAGTAAATGCTTGATTCGAAGTTATGCAACATTAATGCTTTAAACATCACTTTTCCTTTTCAAAATAATATCAAACATGTAATGCCTCTTTAACTCATTATATGTATATTTCTATCATTTCCAGATATGAGTTTTATAAAACCAAAGAAAAGAAGTACTACTCACTCGGGAATGCCCAAAGACCAAACAGCGCGAAGTTGTATGAGCTGACGATCTTGTAATCCTAATAATTAAACGAGAATTAACGTTAAAACCAAGTAAAACACTACGACAACTATGAAACGGCTAAATTACGCTTCAACACTAACAAAACGACTTCTACGCGACAACAAATCGCTCACTCAAAACGATTACTCAAACCTAAATGCAACGCGAAACTCACATGCGAAACTCAAAAATTTCGCTCCGACGAATCCATTGCTCCAAATTGACTCCCGTTAAAACCCACAGCTCTATAATGCCATATTCCACCATTTCCATGAAATCTCATAACTCAATAACTCAAAAATTAAATTTCGAGGCTCGAGTTTGAGTCCTAATTTCGAAAACTTCATCCATTGGATGAATAGAAGACGAAAAGACTTACTGGTCTTTGCGATACGTAATAATCCAGCTAGGCGATGTGTCTGTGCCATGTACACATAAAACCCCTTTCCTTTCTTTCCGTTCCTCTCTTTCCCTTTCTTTTTTCTTCTTTTCTCTTTCTTTTCCCCGTTCTCGCGTGCGTCTCGGCCTTATATTGTGGAGATAATATTGGCTGCCCCTTGTGATTCCACCGTGGAGAAATAACAACCCTGAGGTGGCGACACGTGTGCCAGGGGACCCACCGTTGTCAGGAGGCCTCCACGGTGGAATCACTCTCACGGCAACGAGCTAAGAGCAGCTGAGCTGAAAATTTTTGAAAAAAATCAGGCGCCCTCTCTCTCTCTTTCGCGCTCCCCATCCACATCTGCTCTGCACTCCGTCTCGCTCACGCCGCGCCGACGCCGACGCCACCTCCGACGAGCGAGGCCCTAGCCTCCGCCTCCGCCCTAGCCTCCGACGCCGATGACGCCTCCGACGAGCAAGGTCCGCCGCTGCCCACGAGCGACGTTCGTCACCTCCCACGAGCCGTCGCCTCCCACGAGCAAGGTCCGCTGCCTCCGACGAGCGAGGTCCGTCTCCTCACGCCGACGCTGACGCCGCCTCCGACGAGCGACGCCCTTGCCTCTGACGCCGCCTCCGCCCTAGCCTCCGACGCCGACGCCGACGCCTCCGACGGGCTGGGATTTTTCCACGGTGGAATCACAAGAGGCAACCCATATTTTCTCGACATCTCACAGTTCCGTTTTCTTGAGGGAGCCGACCAGAGTCCCACAAACTGAAATCCGAAGTCCGAGTGTTCTTTTGCTTCCCTTCGCATCGCTTGATAAGCCATCGCCTGATCTGAGAGCTGATCCATAAGGCATGACATTCTTCGCTTTTGTTGTTTTTCCCCCCTTTCTCTCGATCTCTCTTGCTCTTTCTTTGCTTGGGTCTCTTTTGACTTCCTGTTTTGGTCCCTGAAATTGGGTGATGAATTGTTAGATTCTTGAAATCGATTGCGGTGGGATGTTATTTGCTGCTTATGATTCGTGACTGGGACGAGGTCTGCAGTTGATAAAGTTCGCTTTTTGTTGATAAATTCGAGGAGTGGGTTTTGTTCTGTGTGAACGTTGACCGAGTGCATGCTTGTGGTGCTGATTGGAATGGTATTTCGAGGGAATGGTAAAAAAAAAAATCTAAACTTGACTCTAATTTTGTTATCTGGAGGAGGGATTTCTTCTTCCTTGTGTTTTTCTTTTGGTTCTTGGCTTTTCTCGATCACTATTTTAAGGAGGGCACAGTTCGGCTGTGCTTCAATTGCCCCAGAGGATGCTCTATTTGATCTCTCTTTCAAAAGAGAGGAAGGAAGCAATGTGGGTGTGGAGTGGCTGTCAATTTTTTTATGGTGTTGTAGCTTTAGAGCTCTGTTGTCCTGTGCATGGTTGTAGTGATGGCCACAGAAGTGATTGAGTGATCTTTTACTGTGTTGTACTTTTAGAAAATGCTATGTGCAAGGATTTGGCATTGCGCAAGTTGTTCTGCACAATGCCAAGTAATCAAATTTTCTTTTCAGAATGAAGGATTAGAAGCTGTTAAGTGCATATAGACAGATATTAAAAATCAGCTTATATCTGTTTTAACTGCTATAGTTTTTGGAAATATAGCACCTCTTAAAAGCTAGAAGCGAGGGTTGAAAAGTCCTCTCAAACACCTCTGAAGACTTCAATTTTATTTAACCTTTTGGTTTTGCGTGTTGACTGTAAGAAACTGCAAAAAAGATGATCATCTTGTTGGTTCCTTGATTAACATGCTGGTCTCTGAATTTGCAGATGAATTCTCATGCACCTGGTTATATATTGAATGTCAGAATATTCAGTTTACATCGTTTCGTGGTGACATTGGGTTGGGTTGGGTTAGCCATCTCTTTCACTGCATAAGAGTGAGAGGAGAGAGAACTTTAAGGTTTGTTTCCTCTTGGGTAAGTGAAGAAAGACCTTGTTAAGGTCTATCGGTTACTTGGACATACCAGTGAGTCTTCTACTATGGTTCTACCAACCCAAGCATCTGTGCACATCTCTTCTTATCTTCCTCTGGCAATCTTTGAGAGGTATCTTCTGGAATTGATAGCTACAGTAGGAGCCATCCATCCTACTCAATGTTGAAACATACTTTCCCCTAATTGGCTCCCGATTTAACCCAAGCAGCATCCTGTTCTTGTTTCTTCATCTGGGGCACTCTTTTTTCGGGGAATAAAGATTGTGATTTCTGTGAATTTTGCTAAGTGTTCCTCCTTTCTTGACTTGTAGTTGTGAAGGCTGTCGCTACACCCGAGTCAATGGTGGAACTTCCACTGACAGCAGAGAATGCTGAGAGTGTGCTTGATGAAATCCGACCCTATCTAATTTCTAATGGGGGTAATGTTGCATTGCATGAGATTGATGGCAATGTTGTAAGGTTGAAGTTACAAGGAGCATGTGGTTCTTGTCCAAGTTCTGTAATGACAATGAAGATGGGCATTGAGCGTCGTCTGATGGAGAAAATTCCCGAAATTGTTGCAGTGGAACCAATAGCCGATGAAGAAACTGGCCTTGAGATGAATGAGGAAAACATAGAGAAGGTAAGTAAGATATTGCAGCAAATATATGTTGTTTGGTATCATTAACGCTTTTGTCCTTTTCCCCAACTGTTAGGACTGATTTTCTAGGATATTTCTCCTTAAAGAATTTCTTTTTGTTAACTGCTTCGGGGTCTCTAATTAGGTATCTCTACTTGCTTCTTTTTTTAACAAATGGTTTTGGATATTTTTAGTAATGGTGGTATTGGATCCCTATGCTCTCGAGTAATGATTGGTTTGTATTTTTTCTTTCCTGCTAAGCTTGATTTCTGTCCTTATCTATCCCTTGCTAATGATGAATGCTCAACATGTGGTACTCCTCAACTTTACGAAACCTTCACCAGTTGAGGATTAATTGCTGACCTCTTTTTCAGTTGAGCCTGACTACATTGCCAACTAGGTCTCCTGGAATTAGTTTGGATATTTTAACTAATGATAGGTTTGGATCCTTGGGCTCTCAACTCAAGTAATGGTGTGTTTGTCCTTTGCCTTTCCTGCTAAGTTTGATCTGTCTTTCTATTTACCCCTTAGCATCAGGTTCAGGTCCTCGAGTCCACAAAGAGCTGTACTGCAAATAACTCAAAAGTATTGAATCTCGGTCTACACAAATGTAGTGTAGGAAATTCATGTGTGCAACTCATGCACTAAAATTTAGAACTTACCAAAAGAATAGAGACGGTCATTGAAAGGAGTTAACAATTTTTTTTTTTGGTCAGAAAAGGAGTTAGCAAGTTGAGATATGCATTTTTTCAGATATTCTCTTTATCCTGGGACTGAACTCACACACTTGTTTGCCATAGCATTCCTGACCTTGTCTATCCATATGTCTGTCTCAAATTGCATTTGCTTGAACAAGCCCCGGGTCGCTTAGGCAACCCCATTAAGATATCCTTATGCGCGTGACCTGGAAATCTGCTGGCTAACATGTTATTGCTTGATTATTTCAGGTTCTTGAAGAGCTAAGGCCATACCTTGTTGGTGCAGCTGTCGGATCACTTGAGCTAGTGGCCATTGAAGAACCAATAGTTAAAGTTAGAATAACTGGTCCTGCGGCTGGGGTCATGACTGTTCGAGTTGCTGTCACGCAGAAACTACGAGAGAAAATTCCAGCCATTGCAGCTGTCCAACTTCTGTAATGTCATTGGGTAATGAAAGGTATAAAGCATTTAAGGTCTCATCAGTGCAGTAAATTGTGTACAGTTTTGAAAAGTCCTCTAATTTTGAAGCAGAGATAATTCGTCATTGGTGTAGCTTTTCCCACCTTGAGCTGCAGCAGTGGTTGAGCCTCTGCATTCAACTTTATGATTGTATTCCAGGTTGTACACAAGTTCAAAAGGTCGATCTATTTGGGAATTTTCTCGAGTTATTAAATAATAATAAAAAATAGCAATATTATGGAAGTAAATATTCTCACATTTATTCTTACTGCAACAGTCATTGTGGAATTGATCAACAGCATTGGTAGAATTCATGGGGTTTAACAGAATACACGTATATATTTTACCTTGATGAGTTAACAGGAAATACTAAAACCATAACAATATTCGATGGGATTCTTTAACAATTTTATGTGATAACTTTCATGTTTTAGTTAAATAAGAAATATTTCTGGAATTCCAACAGTGCTTATCTTGATTTAGTTTACTTTTACAGGCCAACATAATAGTTGTAGTAGGGTATATAATAGAATTAAAGGTTGGTTGTAGAGTTTTTCCTCTGCTTTTCCTGCTTTGGAACTGAATCTCCTATATCCCGGTTGTTCTACTGGAGTCTCTCTCCCTTCCCTTTTGTTGGTCTTCGATTCTTTCGTCATTGTTCTTTATTGGGTTAATACCACCAAAAACCCTAAACTGGTACACGTGTGACAATTTTATCCTGAATTTTTTTTTTATCACCAAAAACCCAAAACTGGTACAAATGTGACAATTTTACTTCGAACATATCCTAAAAAACCCCAAACTGATACACTTGTGACAATTTTACTCTGAACATACCACAAAAAACCTCAAACTGGTACACATGTAATAATTTTACCCTGAATTAAAATTTTAATATTATTTTTTTATTTTTTCAAATTTTTATTAATTTTTTTTTCTTCATCTTCAACCTTTGGCCAGTCGTCGCGACCAGCCAGAGGCGGAAGCCGGCGAGGTCAACCCTACCGGCTGTTGGCGAGGTCGGCCCCGTCAGCTATCGGCGAGGGCTGCCCTCGCCGGCGTCGGGCGAGGGCTGCCCTCGCCGGCGTCAGGCTAGGCCAGCCCTCGCCTGGGTGGGCGAGGGCAACCCTCGCCTGAGTCGGGCAAGGACAGCCCTCGCCCGACTCAGGCGAGGGTCGCCATCACCTAGGCGGATGAGGACAGCCCTCGCCAGATCTGGCGAGGTCGGCCCTCGCCGGCGTCGGGCGAGGTCCGCCCTCGGGCGAGGGTGGCCCTCGGGCGAGGGCGGCCCCTCACCCAACGCCGACGAAGGCGGCCCTCGCTGGGACGCCGCGAAGGCGGCCCTCGCCGACGCCGCTGGCGGCGGCCTCGCAAATCCGGCGAGGCGCCCTCGCTTCGAGTCGGGGCGAGGGCCGCCCGCCCGGCTGGGGCCGACCTCCCGGCTTCCGCCTCCCGCGACCGGCCAAAGGTTGAAGATGAAGAAAAAAAAAAGAAAAGAAAAAATAAAAAAAATTCGAAAAAATAATATTTAAAAATTATTAGTTCGGGATAAAATTGTCACAGGTGTACCAGTTTAAGGTTTTTCGTGGTCAAAAAAATAGTTTAGGATAAATTTGTCACGGGGTTTACTAGTTTGGAGTTTTTTGTGGTAAAAAAAAAAGTTTGGGAAAAAATTATTACAGGTGTACCAGTTTAGGGTTTTTAGTAGTATTAACCCTACTAATAAATAAATAATCCTTACCAAAAAAAAAAAACCCTACTAATAAATAAATAAGACTACTAATTCTTCATAAAAGAAGAGAGAAATTTACTATAGGACACCAAGGGGATAAAACTACTTGCTCAATGAGGAGAAGAATCCCAATCCAATGAGAGCTCCTCATTGAATTGTGAAACCATGCTAAGCTCTATCTTCACCGACTCAAAAATGTCAGGAAACTTGTCTGATCTTCGCAATTGCATAAACATGGTAACTAAACCTTACCAGAGTCACCTGCTGTCCCAGATATTTCAACCTGGAGAAGTTCCTTAATATTTTTCTGATCTTCTTCATTACCCAGTCCTGTGTTAAGAAGTAGAACATCTTGGCCCCTGCAAAGACAAACAAGGCAAACAAATATCAACATAAACAGTGAAGCCAGGATGAGGCTGGAGATTAAACAACAAATTACTGGAACTCACGCAGCAATTGCCAAAATTGGAAGCTCGGCGTGAGGAGACGGACCTCGCTCGTCCGAGGCAGCGGACCTTGCTCGTGGGAGGCCACGGACGTCGCTCGTGGGCAGCGGCGGACCTCGCTCGTCGGAGGCTAGGGCCTCGCTCATCGGAGGCGGAGGCGCAGCGCGAGCGAGACGGACTTTGGATTTCAGTTTGTGGGACTCTAGTCGGCTCCCTCAAGAAAACGGAACTGTGAGATGTCGAGAAAATATGGGGTGCCTCTTGTGATTCCACCGTGGAAAAATCCCAGCCCGTCGGAGGCGTCAGCGTCGGCGTCGGCGTCGGAGGCTAGGGCGGAGGCGGCATCAGAGGCAAGGGCGTCGCTCGTCGGAGGCGGCGTCGGCGTCAGCGTGAGGAGACGGACCTCGCTCGTCGGAGGCAGCGGACCTTGCTCGTGGGAGGCGACGAACGTCGCTCGTGGGCAGCGGTGGACCTTGCTCGTCAGAGGCGTCATCGGCATCGGAGGCTAGGGCGGAGGCGGAGGCTAGGGCCTCGCTCGTCGGAGGTGGCGTCGGCGTCGGCGTCGGCGCGGCGTGAGCGAGACGGAGTGCAGAGCAGATGTGGATGGGGAGCGCGAAAGAGAGAGAGAGGGCGCTTGATGTTTTTCAAAAATTTTCAGCTCAGCTGCTCTTAGCTCGTTGCCGTGAGAGTGATTCCACCGTGGAGGCCTCCTGACAACGGTGGGTCCCCTGGCACACGTGTCGCCACCTCAGGGTTGTTATTTCTCCACGGTGGAATCACAAGGGGCAGCCAATATTTTCTCTATATTGTGCCTTCTTTCCTCTTTTTGTTGACTGTTCAACGTTAATTTTTTTTTCTTTTCTCCTTTTTTGACTTTTCAAACCCATATTTTACGAAATTTAGATATACCTCGATCACCAAACATTATTTGGTAAACGAGTGAGGGAATTTGCATCTTACCTCCTTGTCCCGCATTATCGCAAAAACTTTTCCAGTGGCCCTTGAAAATTTTCTTGAGGCCTACCAACTGCAAGAGCATTATTCCACATGGAGCAATTGCGTGTTAAGTGTTCCGGTTGTCCACACACAAAACATACTCTACTATCCATAGGCACATCCCTCTGCATAGGACAATCAGGTGCAATATGTCCCATTTTGCCACAAAGGAAGCATGCTCGTCTTGCGGTAACAAGGGCTGCCAAGATGTCTCCCACAAGTAGTACAAGATCCCAAAGTAATTTGATTCATAAACTTTCCTAACAGGTCAATGCTTCTTCGTTCATTACAGTTGCTTGCATCGCTTTCTTGGTAACCATTTCCAGCTCGGTGATGTGTTCTTGGCGTGTACGTGCAAAAATCCATTTCCTTTTTTTCCCTTTCCTGTCTTTCCCTTTCCTCCTCCTTCTTCTTTTCTCTTTTTTTCCCCCTTTCTCGCGTGCGCCTAAGCCTTATATTGCCAAATGTGCCTTTTTTTTCTCTTTTTATTGACTTTTCAACGTTTTTCTTTTCTTTTCCTCATTTTGAATTTTCAAACCCCTATTTTACACTTTTAGCATAAGCAAATAAGTCATTGGTAACCACTTAACCATGTCTTAAATTTGGTCGAATGAATCAATTTGATGAAGCTTTGAACAAAGTTAGACCAAGTATAGATTACTCGAGAGTGAAAACCTTAAAATGGCGCTAAATCGTGGGATTTCTAATTCCATATAGATTAGATTTGAACATCGAAAGCAGTGAATCAGATACCTACTGTAGGCCAAACAACTAGGAAGAAGTGCAAGTCCCATACATGCGACATGAGAGGCTTCTCTTGCACTATAGTATATAGTGGTTGAACAAATATAGCCCGTTATACTTGTTGATGTGAAAAATCGAACCTACACCGTGCATTTAATCTCAACACACGTGTTTATTTGAGACTCGACAAGGAGTTTCTTTTTCCTTTTTTTTTTTCAAGTCTTGTGTTAATAGCCCGATCACATCACTAATCACTGAATTCTACATCGCACCATGCCCGACCCTTGGTGATTTAGAATTCTCATTCGAACACGGTTTGTCTAATCGACGAAACCATTTTTTTGCCTGCGAAGGGTCAACTGAGGAAAAGGGGGGGAACTTGCTTCGTGAGTTCCATGCAACTCCCTTCACCAATACTAGTTCCGCAGAGGCGACTGACAACAGAGTAAGACCATTAAAAGTCCAAGTCAAAGTCATCTCTTGATCTGGACGAGCCGAGGAAGGAGATCCATGCCTTCACATCGCTTGTCGATGAACATTTGCCGTTCTGGTTCCGTCTCTCGGACAATCCTAATGAGCATAAATTAGAGAAAGAGAGTGTGAGGAAGCAGTTGATCCATCATCATCCCATAAACCGCAAAACGTCACGCATATCCCCTCGTATTCATCAACACCAAGACATCCGCCATGCTCTCTTCTATTCCCTCTCTCTTCTTCTTCTTCTTCCTCTGCTTCGCGGATGGCACCGCCCACCACACCGCCCCGACCCAGGACCCTTGCGACCCCACAAGCTGCTCCGGCCGGGGGCCGCAGGTTCAGTTCCCGTTCAGGCTCGCACCCTTCCAACCTGCCAACTGCAGCTTTCATCCGGAGTTCGACCTTTCCTGCGATAGGCATGGGAACACTCTGCTCTTGCTCCCAAACACCACACGACGGCTCTTCGTCAAGTCCATCGACTACGCCAACCGGTCCGTCGTCGTGCAGGACCCCAAGCGGTGCCTCCCCTTGCTGCTCGCCAACCTCAACCTCTCTCGCTTCTCCTACCAAAGGCTTTACAAAAACGACCCATATGGATACCAATACGGGTACTATAACTATACCCTGTTCAAGTGCCCGCCTCCCGAGAGGACCAGCATGACCCCGGTGGTTTGCCTGAGCATTCCCGGGTCGTACGAAGTCTACGCCGTCAGGTCCAGCTTTTACGTCGGAGACTTGCCGCTGGTGTCCTGCGAGAGGAACGGGAACATTGACGCACTTCCGACAGAGATCGAGACCATGATGATCGAGGTTCGTTTGGCCTGGGACAAGCCCGACTGCCAGAAGTGCACGGACGTAAATTGGTGGTGTCGA